GGTACCCAGTACTAACTTTCTAATCTACCTTTTGTTAAGCACAGCTACCCAGTACTAACTTTCTAATCTACCTTGTACTAGGAATAGCTACCTAGTTCTAATGTTCTAATTTACTTTTTTCCAGGCACTTTTTCCAAAGCTTTCAGAAAGCCATGCTATGACTCTGCATGAACACCTCCATCCAGGGGATCAGTAACATTATTAAAAAGTTACCAGCAAACTGGTTATGAAAGACTTTAAAACCATGCCGATTATTTTGATAGTCAAACTAAAGTCTGTAGTTTCCATGAACTTCTTATGATTTATTACAAGTGGAAACATTTACAATCTTCCTACTATTTTGTGTCTTCCAATTTTCCAAATAATTTAGAAAAGTTACAGTCAGTGCCTCCATTTTTTTCTTTCTCTTTTTTATAATTGTTTTCCTTTGATAATTTTTTTCTGATTCAGAGGCTTTACTGTTTAGAAGTATTTCTTTTTTTTTTTTAGAATACTGTCAACTACAAAAGTATTTCACCAAATTTGATCCTTGCTATAATTAATCTCTGAGGGAAGTAGTATTCTCCTTTATCATTAAAGTAACTTACAAAAGTATACATATATATATATATATATACTAGTTGACAGAAGGAAAATATTTTATTTACTGTTTTTTGTTTTCTTTTTAAAGTTGCTCATGTAGGTTATTGTTTGCCAGAGATACGGGATTCTATTTAAATATAAAACAGTACCTTTACATCTAAGTATGGGGTGCAAGTTAGCCCCCATGGTACAGCTCTGGATTTTGAAGTTGTTAAACTGAGTTCTACGCTATGCCATTTCACAAAATATTCCCCACATTTTAAGCTGTAGTTGTATTATAAGAGTGACATAGGAGATGATGACTGGCTGCCTTCCCTCTGGTCAGTAAGGATGATGAAGTTAACTTTAATAGCTTTACCATACATACAATATACAGATTCATACAAATGTAAAGTGTGAGCCAAAAGAAAATATGGATTAACATTCTAAAGAGTTTCTACATTGGTATTTATGTATATATGCGTGTTTGTGGTGTTTGCGATGGGTAGTAGTGATCTTGATTGTGGGAAACCAGTAAGTTTCTCTCTGTAGATAAATGAACTGTTTGTAGCCAGGGTTGTAGTAAGAGTCAAGAAGCATACAAAGAAACAGCTAGAAAGCTTTAGTTATAACTGCTTAAACTTCATCCAAGAAAAAGAGTTAAAGCTGAGTTTAGTCTTTACTTGTATATTTAGTTATCACAGTTTTATAGTATATTAATTTAAAGTTAATTCTTGGTTTGTTTTTGAATTTTGCACAAAGCTACACGAGGGCTATCTGCGTTAGCCGTCCCTAATTTAGCAGTGTAAAACTAGAGGGAAGGCAGCTAGTCATCACCACTCACTGCCAACTCTTGGGCTACTCTTTTACCAACGAATAATGGGATTGACCGTCACATTATAATGTCCCCACGGCTGAAAGGGTGAGCATGTTTGGTGGGATGGGGAATCGAACCCGCAACCCTCAGATTGCAAGTCGAACGTCTTATCCACCTGGCCATGCCGGGCCAGTTAATTCTTGGAGTGGCTCAGTTGAAACTTTGTTGGTTTATAACAATAAAACCAGATTTTGATACCCACGATGGACACAGCACAGATAGCCCATTGTGTAGCTTTGTACTTAACAACAAACAGACAAATACTTCTTGTGACCTACATTAAAAGATTTGGTTACACTTAAAACTAGAGATAAGTGTAGCATGGCTTCCATATAAAACATTCTTTTGGTTCTTCACCTTTCATGAGCATCATTGTTATAAAACAATTGACAATTCTTATTGTTTAGTGTGAAAAGTTTACTTAATGCTTTGTCCTATCGTGAGTGAAGGTTTATTTCTATTGTTTGACATTTGATAACTGCTAACAATAAATTAGTTGTTAAACCTAAGTTGTGTACAGTATATATGTGTGTGTGTGTATTTATGTATATATATATAATTGCTCTGCTGGTTTATTTGAATCCTGTCATTTCAAAGTCATTTAGGAGGACAGTACATTTTAATTATTTTGTTTATAAAACTAATTGATAAAAGAATGTTTTTTGTTTGTTTTTTTCACAGAAGTTCTTTATAGATACATGTAAATGTCAAATATTTCTTTCCATTTCTGCTTCAGGGACACACTCTAGTCATAACTATGAAATGCTTCTGAGAGAAATAGTGTATTACAATCATAAACCAGCTTACTACCTCAATCGTGCCTTCAAACTGGTCTGCTCAGGGCTGAATGGTCGATTCATTAGCAACGAATACATCCAAACAGTAAGAAAAACTGCAGTTCACAAAGCTAATTAATTTATAAAATTATTTCAAAAACTTTAGACGATGTGTATTTTTTATGAATTCCATACAAAAATAGTCTTTTGTAAAAGTTATTTTCAGCTTTTTTTTACAGTGAGCTTTACTATGAACTGTTATTAATTGTTTTCTCTTGAAAAAAGAATAGTTACAGGTGATTGAGGTGTTTAAGATTGTTAAGAGAATTGAATGGTGTTGATGCCATTTTTTGTAAGTAACAGTGAGAATGGTTGGACTAGGGGACACAAATATAAATTTTGACAGGGTAGGAGTCACCTTCAGCTTAGACTACTTTATTTTTTTTTAACAGAGTGATTGGCTTTTAGAATGGGTTGCCTTCAGGTGTGGTGGAAGGAGGTTTAAGAGAAAGCTTGATACATATTTGGATAATAAGGGCTGGCTCTGAATGTTTTATTTGTATTTTAAAGTTTAGTTTAGTGCATGGGATGGCCTAGATGGACCAAGAGGTTTTTTGTTGTCCTTAGATTATATATGTAAGTAATATATACAATCAGTTTAATTATTAAAACATAGGCTTAACTAAGAGGCAGAAACAAAACGTTTTTATTAATTTTAGACATTTATTCAGTTCTTGTCTTAAGTAATTTCTTTATAGTTGTAAATATCCACAAGGAAGTTTTGGTAGGTAAATAGTTGTTAATGCCAATAGGATATTTTGTTTAGATAATAAACTAACAGATAGATTTAATAAGTAAACACATTTTTAATTTATGGTAAAGTATTTCTATATTGTGATATTGACAACTACTTTTTAATAACACTGGTGCAGCTCACAGTAATTCATCCTCGTGTGGAGCCCAGTCATGAGGTAGTGAACCATATGGATCCAGCTGCTTTTGCTCATGCTCAGATCCATGACCACCAAGTAGAGCTGCAAGCAGCATATGTCACAAGTAAATTATTAGAAAACAGTGAAGCTGTTGCTAGAACTTCAGCTAGTAAGTAGCATTTCTAATCACATTTTGCATGTAGTAAATCAGTTTTATGAACAGTGCAAAATACCCACCCATTGTTTGTCTAATCACCATACTATAAAACAAACCATTGCTTATGTGGCCCCATATCTTCTAGTAATTAAGGTATCTAATCCATAATCCAGCAATTAACTATTAATATACTGCAATATACATATTTTAATAGTTTTTTAACCAAATGCAAATAATCAGATTGTTGCTTATGTCATCATTGTCTAATAACTCATTCTTGTGGTCTTGTCATCATTGTCTAATAACTCATTCTTGTGGTCTTGTCATCGTTGTCTAATAACTCATTCTTGTGGTCTTGTCATCGTTGTCTAATAACTCATTCTTGTGGTCTTGTCATCGTTGTCTAATAACTCATTCTTGTGGTCTTGTCATCCTTGTCTAATAACTCATTCTTACAACGATGACAAGACCACCTAATAGCTCATTCTTGTGGTCTTGTCATCGTTGTCTAATAGCTCATTCTTGTGGTCTTGTCATCATTGTCTAATAGCTCATTCTTTTGGTCTTGTCATCATTGTCTAATAGCTCATTCTTTTGGTCTTGTCATCGTTGTCTAATAACTCATTCTTGTGGTCTTGTCATCGTTGTCTAATAACTCATTCTTGTGGTCTTGTCATCGTTGTCTAATAACTCATTCTTGTGGTCTTGTCATCGTTGTCTAATAACTCATTCTTGTGGCCTTGTAGATTATCATAAAATGACTAAAGTAGACAAAGAGGTTGGAAGTATTCATTAACTTAGTGATTAAGATGATTTAGCTCTTTCTGATTACATTGTGTGATGTACTTTTAATTAGTATTAACTTCTCATCAGAACAAGTTATGTACTTAGAGAGAAACTAAAACTCAACCTGGAAACCAGCATGGCTAAATAAATATACTTATATTATGTTTCTACTTATAAAGATTAGGATGCATTATTTCATCAGTTGGGTAATGTTAATGATATTTTCAGCCGGAATCCTAGTAATATTTCATGAGGTTCGGCCAGCTTAGGAGATTTAGGATAGTCCTAAATACGTATATTAAGCTAATAAAGCAAAACAATGTTTATAATAAAAGTATAATAATATACAATAACTCAAAATAAAAAGTAAATACATTCAATATACTAAAAAGTATAACCAATATTGTTAATAAAAATAACCATAAATGAATAATATAGTATACTGTACTTACTGAATACATAAACACTATCTGTTGGCTTGAATTACTGTCATAAATTTGTTTGGAAAAAGTAACCTTAGTATAGGGTGCCTGTTTTTTCTCCAATGCTCCCCAGTACATCTTTTGAACAAAGAAAACTCATTAAGCCACCCCTTCTGTCTAGCGCCAGAGGCAAGTGACATCTGTGACAATTTATGAGACACCTCTTATTGTTTAAAATCATACCAGTAATTTTCCAATAGTACAATCAAAAACTAATGTTTATATAGATATATAAGATAAAGAATAATAAAAATACAAAATTACACCTGAAATTATACACGAAAGTGTAACAATATCGAATGTAATACAAAGAAAACAAGATACTAAACATAATATGTGATATGTCTAAACCATTAATACTTATCTTAACTATCCCCTGTAACAACATAAGCCTCTAGAAAGTAGAAACTTCAATAAAAGTAACAATACTTAGAAAGAAAAACAGTAGCAGTTGTTAATGTAACTAAGAAAGTGATAATCATAATAATGTCATACTATATATGGAACTGTTACATAGCTAATATTAACTAAATATAATAATAATAACTAAACTAATGACAATGTCATACTGTATATGGAACTGTTACATAGCTAATATTAACTAAATATATTAATAATAATTAAACTAACAACAATGTCATACTGTATATGGAACTGTTACATAGCTAATATTAACTATATATAATAATAATAATTAAACTAACAACAATGTCATACTGTATATGGAACTGTTACATAGCTAATATTAACTAAATATAATAATAATAATTAAACTAACAACAATGTCATACTGTATATGGAACTGTTACATAGCTAATATTAACTATATATAATAATAATAACTAAACTAAGAACAATGTCATACTGTATATGGAACTGTTACATAGCTAATATTAACTATATATAATAACAATAACTAAACTAAGAACAATGTCATACTGTATATGGAACTGTTACATAGCTAATATTAACTAAATATAATAATAATAATTAAACTAACAACAATGTCATACTATATATTGAACTGTTACATAGCTAATATTAACTATATATAATAATAATAATTAAACTAACAACAATGTCATACTGTATATGGAACTGTTACATAGCTAATATTAACTATATATAATAATAATAATTAAACTAACAACAATGTCATACTGTATATGGAACTGTTACATAGCTAATATTAACTATATATA